GTCCATCAGGTAGGTATATCTAACGTGCAGTTATTAGTAGTAGTAGTTATACTACTAATAACTAATACGTTAGTATAGTAGTACAGATATTATTATTTCCTAAATATTTTATTTTAGAAGCACAGCGGATTGTGCTCATAACACAAGTGAGACTAACGTGAATTGAATCTCTCAACAATATCATATATTGTCATGGTTTTTCTATTTGTATTCGTAAAGACATTATTAAAAGTGACTTCTTGTGTTTACGCGAATACTACACAACACTTTTTAAACAGAAATAAAATATTAGATTTAATGGACCGGCAAATTCCATTAAGAGCCTTAAGGCTCTTAATGGCTCTTCTTCCAGCACGATAATTTAGCGTAAAAACTACCTACCTATCTTTGATTGTAACACATTGCTCGGATATAAACACACGTATAGATTCACTCAAGTCCCGCCGTATCTATGAATTTCCAGAAACTTCCGAGTGTTAGGCATAATCGGGGCCCGTGGGGAGATTTATGACGGACGCTGAGAAAACTTTTGCCATGTTACGGACCGAGAATACAGAAATCAATCGAGCGGCCGTAGATCTGCAAGAGATCTGCGAATTGGCAGCCCTAGACAATGGTCGCGTTTACGGGATGTGACGTCACCGTCGCAGCCCTAATTTGCGTGGGGCGCGTGGTTCCGCATAACTAATACAGCAATGTTACGTAGGATTAATACGCCAATGATAACGGGGATGACTGGTTTCTTTTATCCTCGCCATAAACATTATATACATCGGAGTTAAAAAAATAATGCGACAGCCTACTTTAGCGAGTCATCCCTCTCGAAAGTTATGGGGTGTAGCGATCTCCGTTTCATTGTTAATGACCCATGAAATGGAAAAAAAAACGCAGAGCAATGCTGTTGTGTTTGTGTCTTTAAAATAAAATATATCAAATTTCGAATCTCTGATTATTAATTAATACGAGGCGAGTGCTCGCCTTATTCGTTAATACAGCACTCGCCTTATTCGTTAATACAGCACTCTGTTAAGGGGATTTTAGTTTCGTTAATAATGATGGCATAACAGCTACGTCCATTTGATCCTTATCAAGACGATTGAATAACGGTTTCGATGTTCCATCTGCAGATAGATTTGGTTTATAGCGTTAGGTATTTGACATTAGCTCCATAATACTTACGTGAAAATTCAATCTCCAGTAACCAAATCTATCTGTAGATAGAATATTAAAACCGGCCGTTAGCAGTGACAACGCGAGCTTACGATCGGGATATGTCTCTCGAAGTGTTCCAAGTATCTTACCGAGTGAAACTTTTTATATTTTCCATTATCAAATGAATGGTTTTCATTGTATATATCTCCATGGAAACAGACGTTCGTATATTCGTTCTAAATTTAAAAGCACACAAACAAAGCTCGACCCTTGTTTCAAATTAAATGTCCAAATATCCACAACCAAATCCAATACCAAATATTGGAAAACGTTCGGAACACGACGCTGTTATTCCAAATTTAAATGAAAAACCCCTAAAAGCTTCACCGTTCCTTTTTTGAATATTTCTGCAAACATCCGTTCGATTGATCCGATATGCACAAATCAATCGAAACGCGTCTACAATAGTGTTGTCGCTTCGACACGTCGCTTCGAAATAGAATGCAAACACGCCGCCAATCGATTATGGACCTTTCCGGCGGCGGGGCGCTATAACAACACGGGATTCGAAATGAGCCGGTCCGAGAGGGCGGACCATAATGCAAATCTTTGCTAATTGCGTGACAACAACGTTGCCTGTAAGCCCGTTGCTCACAATCCGCGAGCGTTCGTTCAAACGGTGGCGGGTGTTTCGATTAAAGGCACGGGCGACCGAACGTTTATCTCGACTCTCTGTATTGATTTTCGATAAATTCTAGGTCGACTTATGTCCAATATTATATTCAGAACAAGGGTAAAGTAAGGAGCGGCAAACAATGGTAGGTAATGCTTACGTCATATTTAAAACCGTTTTATGTGTAAAAGAAAAAAAAAACAAAATGGAATGGAACCTATTAGACAAATAAACGCGTAGACAATAGAGACGTACTAGTGGGTATACGAGTGAAATCGCTACACGAATAGCCCTAACAAGGAGCAAACAGAGCGTGCGACAAAAAAAGCGCTCTCAAAAAAAAAAAAGAGACGCGTCAAAGCGCTTTCCGCTGTCAACGCTTCGAACTTTCCCGAACGGCATACGGAGCATAAGGAACAAAGTAGCACGCTCGCAACTGCAAAGATAGTAGACGTACTACGAGTCTGTGCAAATATTTAGCCGTGACATTGTCGCGTAGGACGTAATGAGAGTTGCCACGCGCCCGGGGCGTTTGTGTGCGAACGGCCTCACGATACTAAAAGCGCACGCTTGGAAAATTCGCAAGCCTCCTAATACAAACAGTGCTCTTTTGTTCCAGTATAAAAAACTAAACCTTAGGGCGCCCCGTCTGCAGCGAAGGGCTGAAGTATCCACTCTGTATTCTAATCCAAAGCTACATCCCTGTTATCTAGCCATCGACACAATAGACACGAGTCAATGGAGCAACAAAGCTTAGTGATAAAACTAAAATCGCGTGAATCTCGAGATCATCTGATCAAATTCGACGAAACGGCAGACAATAGTCGGGCTAATTGATTATACAACCAACAAAGCGGGAAAAGTCAACAGGGGGGGAAAAAAACTTTGAAGGAAAAAAAACGAAAGGAGGCCGTAATGGACGCTAATGTCCCTACGTAATACTGGCCGAACGCCCAATTGTTAAAACAAATTCAAATGGCGTTCCAAAAAAAAAATGCAAATCTGATAAATTCGCGCGCCACAAATCCGATTCGACGATAAACAACGCCGGCGTCCGATGGCCATCGACACCCCTCCCCCCGCTGCGATCCCCCCCTTCCCCGGAACTTTTGCCGACAATGGGCGAACGCCAACTTTGTTTTTATTCAAATCACAGCTTACATAATGAATAAGTGGTGTACTTTTTGTTCCTTTTATACACGCAGGAAACGCAGACAATCGGTATCTTTCGCCGCTGGGGCGACTGTGTTTTCTCCGAATCATTCAACGATTTGCTTTCTGTTTACGTCACCGTGTTCGCAAATCGTAATACGGCGTTGGTATTATGATTTGCGTTTCGCTCGTTCGGTTCGTACGCAATTACGTATATTGACCGCACTTCTGTACCATGATTGTGAGCTGGTTTTAATCGTTATTATATGGTATAGGGCAATTATCGTCACCTTCTATTCGAGTAATGCATGACTACGTTATGTTAATTTAAACGTTACGTAAGCCGTAAGTATAGTACTACTATATAAGTGGTAGGAACACGGAACAGTCTTCGCCATTTCAAGAAACGGCAGGTCCATCCGGGGAAGTACCACGACCTCACAGAAGACCGGCGTGAAGTGAAAGAGTTATAATACTTCTGCGTTTCGATGCAGGCTGCGGTGAGTAAGGTAACCGGGGATTTATGAAAAGGTGGCAACGCATATATATAATTACAAGTAGTTAAATTAGGAATATCATAATTCAATTTAAATTAACGTCCATCGCCAAGAATTTTTAACCACTTTAAGAAAAGAAATCACAATAAATATTATCATGTCATGTTAACTTCACACTACATGCACATAAAATACTTGAGTCGTCATAAATTTTGAGAGAGTGATTGAAAGAGATTCACCACAACAAATTGGCAGCATCTATCTAAAATACGCTGAAAAGAACGTTCAAAAAAATTAGAGCTGCCTTAAATTTAAGACCGAGACATTAAAAAAAAAAAAGCAAAACACTGGCCGCTAATACTCGCTCTGTTTATGCTGTTATCCGAATGGGTTGTCGGTGTACGGGGTTTTACGGGACTCCGTTTAATTGCGCGGAAGGGATCAAAGTTTTACGCGGCGCGCGGAAGGCGCGCAACTCGCAGAGACGCGCCGCCTCCCGACTCGAGTTTACGATAATGATTTAATTTATGCCCCGGAATTAAGCGACGCTCCGGGATTTCGGCCGTGTTGTTTTAGGGTTTTCGGCCTAACTGACGGCGGGTAATCGGTAAAAATTAATTTCGTCGAGTCGCGCCCGGGGGGGAGGCGTTCATTAGCCCCTAATGCGGAGACGAATTAATGAGCTTTGAACGCCGCTACATTGACAAAAGTAATTAGAAGACACAGTGTCAATAAGGTAACAATACAAAAGGCGTAATGTTAAAGTATGTCAATTGTAAAATGTGAGAAAGTGCGAACGGACGCTATGTAACGTACGTATATGTTGTGGACGAATAAAGTTTGCCTTTTAAGAATCAGTATTAAGAATTTAGAAGGGATCACTCATTTGTCCCCCGACACTAATTCCACACACGAAATGGTAAACAAAAATAAATGTGTATAAGACAATATGCCTAAATAAGATCAACTTTGTAAAGGCGTTTCTTAAAGAATTTCGACTTAATTCTATGTATTACATTTTCTAAGTTGATACTAAGAAAACCATGACCTTGTATTTTATTAGTGCTCTATTTAGTTAAGAATACGTACGTAATAAGTGGTAACCACTTACTTTCTATCTTTTGGGACAGTTGTCAATGAGAGATATAAAATAAATTGAAACGGTTAAATAGATGCAATATAATTATAGACTTAAGCATGTATTGTTTATGAGCTGACGGTCTACTAAAAAGCTATTATGCTGTGGTATTTCAATACATGAAATAACGAAATATTGTCATCTGTTCATAAAATTTCAAATCCAAATCGTTCGGAGATCGGAAAGTGGACAAAGAAATTGATCTGATCCTGCAGATCAATTTCATCTATTACATAGAGTAAAGGTAATTGTTATAAAAAATCTAAAGCTAGTAACACCGTTGTTAACCCCTTTTAAACATATATCATGCAGAGACATCGTAAGCAACCGGGAGATGTCGCCGTATCGGTGTAAAGTGGAGGGGATGCGCCACGCGCGGGTAGCTTACCTCGGCTTGTGGTAGGTCGGGTTGCTGTTAGTCTTGAGTATGTCGGCATTGGGGACGGACGTGGGAAGCGCGTGTTCCCTCTCCAGTTCGCTTTCATAGCTCTCCAGCGGGACGTGCTTGCCGGGGAGCGGGTCCGCTGCAAGAGAAAAAAATATTTCTTTAATCGACACCCTGAGTGAACACATAATATATATTAATTTATTGCTCCCGGGACCATAGACACTGTAAATACTTAAGCTAACATAAGTTTTTGGGAAGTAAATGCATAAAAGTAACTAGTTACTTTTATGCATGTATTAAGTGTATTCTTTCATTGCCATTATTTTTCTTTCATAGTTGTTAGCATTATACATAAATTTTAAAGTTTTTTTATAGTGCTAATTTCTGCACTTAAGATTGAACATTAAAACATGTAGAAAAAGTACGAAAAGATTGTCGCCGCTGTGGGAATTCGATCGAAATATCAAATTAAATGATAATCATTTAAAAGTAACACGTGCCTGCGTCTTATTATCACCAATACATAGTTCGTTATGCCATCTTTGACGTAATATTATGACGCTATCTCCGCCGAGTTGTCGCAGCGCACTCGAGGTCGCTTATGGCGTTAATGCTTCGTAAATTGCGTAAATATGCGCATAATTAGCTCAAATTACGCAGATCGTTCGTAACGCTAAGATCTCGGCCGGTTTTACGACCGCGAGAGGAGTTTCCATATTTCTTTTGTCGCGCGTAATATTTCTTTGGGTACACAAAATTAACGGCTGCCACATTATGTTGTGTAATCACTATAACTTGGTAAAGAATGCGAACAAAAGTTAAAACATTTATTGTACTTGTATTAAATTATAATTTAGCGAACACAATATAATTTTTTATAACGTTTGCTTTCCATTTTTAACAATAAATGTTTTTTATTTATTAGTCAGCTTCGGGTCAGCGTCAGGAAACAGAATAACGCTGACTTCAAATATAATTTAATTGGGTGTACTCTTAATTTTCACGTGAGAGAAGCAATGATTAAAAAAAAGGATGTTAAGCAATTACAATTAGAATCGATATCAGATTTGCAAAAAATATTTGTTGGGTTGTCCTTCTTTCACGCAGCACCGGAGTGAATGCTCGACATGATATAATCTTCGTATGGAAGCAGACAATGGGCCGAAGAATGACATAGACGAATAGCCTATGTCACGTTTCGTTATAGGTTTGAAGCGTAATTCTAGAACCAGTCCTTTGAGCGAGCTAATGCTGAACAGGGCACATCTGGTAAAAGAATACAGTAGACATATGTAGTGATAAGAAGATAATCGGTTCCTAGATGAGAGCGGTACAGCACTAATCATAAACAATCGACACACGCAGCTCCTCCCTAGTCGCGAATATAGGTATACCGTTCTGGTCAGAATTTCAAATAAATTACTTTTTTCTGATTTGATCATGCGTTTTCCTTCTAATATTAGGTAATAATGTTAGGTACAATTGAGAAATATATAATTACTGAACAAGATTTTTAATACGTGTTTATTACAACGTCAATAAATATGTATACGCATGAAGTTAACCGTGTCCCTGGACACATTCGGGTCAAGGGACAGGACAAGAGCGAGCTCATGAATATCCGAGCACCGTATATTGCACGTTGATGGGTCTCGAACCGGCTTCGCATATTATAAAGCAATCTTCTGATTAAAGTTGTCTCAGAGCTTAATACAACGCAGCCCGCTTGGGGGTTGAGTTCTTGGTACGTAGTTTGTGAGTCACTCGTCTAGTTTACCTCTTTGTTGGGCATCGGTTCTTAACATAATTCGTGTAACGCATTTCATCTGGTTAATGAGGTAACCAGGGCCCACCTTATAAAAGGTTGCCAACGTACCCACAATCCCTCAGGTTTTGCAGATGTCAACTATGTGCGCTTTGTTCACAACTTTTCACACGGATAGAAAACTTATTGTCACCTAATAGGAATTGCTAACGTCTACAAACGGTAGGCTTGAATAGCGAGCATCTTTATCGTGTGCCGCCCCTTCAATAAAAGAAAAAACGGCCTTTCATGCACGAAATTAGTTACGACCCAAAGGCCGTGCCGCGTTATTCATTGCTTAACGGGCAAATTTATATCCTGCGGAAAATCGGATGAATGTTATTGCGAAAATAAGTATTTATTGGTCCCCCACCCCTCGGCCGGAGGGATAATTTATGTGCCACCGCGCCTGACCTTTGCCGGTTGATATTTAAAAAAAATAGGATGTAACGCGCGGGCCCTTTACGAGAACGTACACCTTTTAGGCGGGGGGTGAAATGTTCAAAATGATTGGTACTGAAGTATATCGGTAATATAACTATTGAAGTTATAACATGTTTTTTTTTAAATTTCAGGACAGTCTGAGTTATGGTAGAGACGAGAAACGGTCATTGACCTTCAAGACTGTATACATATCATGGCCTAATAAATCACTGATTTTTGGCAAGGTGTAAATATCCGAGATTTTTTTTATTTTCTTTTTCCCAGGAAATGCCTCTGCAAAAAAACCCTTACTTAGGATGTAGAGGCGTTTTACGCACAAGAAATATTTCGAGCTGGGATTTGAACCACGACTCGGCAGACTCCAAAAATCGAGGCCGTGCCATGTAAGTAAAATCCAATTGGATTTCTCTCGAACGCTTTTTATATTTTTCATTACGCAGTCCGCACTGATAAGTACCGACATTTGCGAGTGGCTTTTAAAGTAGGACGGAGCTGAAACGTAATACGGGACTACATATCGTAGCCAGGCTTTTCTAAGAAAGCATGTGCAATGCCAATTTCATTATAAATTGGATTTCGTTGCGACGTGTTCTCAATATTAGCTGGGTAAGTAATACAAAAACATTTTTACATATGTAATTTATTTGCTTACCCTGTGAAATGTGTGATGCTAATTTGATCAAAGTCTGAATAAAGTCTCGTAATAAAGGCTTCGGTGCCTTGGATCATGGGTTCGATTCTCACAAGTATTACGACAGTGGCAAGCAAATAATTCCTGATCTGTGTGTTTGTTCTCAGGAACAGTGGTTGACGGTCGTAAAAACCTAGCCAGTACAACTAGCAACATGATTCATGTTGTGCTGACCCCATTTGGGTGAGATAACGACAGAAGGAAAAACGAGTATTGAGGGAACGCTGCAGCACTTTAATCCTTAAGAAATTACATCTTAGCTTTTTAGGGTTCCGTACCTAAAGCGTAAAACAGAACCCTTTTACTAAGACTCCAAAGAAAGCAAAGTTTGTAACTACTATGGGTTTTAGGTAACTGGTAAACATCCTACTTAAACATAAACAAAACATTTTTCGTTTTGTTAATAGATTCACAATAAAGATATGTAAACAGCCACATAATCATTTTCCAGTAGTGGAGATCGAACCCAATCCTCTGTAACAGATAGATCGAATATCCAATTCGCCAATATCATACAAAAATACTGCTTTCCGTACGTGTCACCGCAGTCTTCGGATATCAAAATGAGTCCCAAAAAATGACTATTTGTCCGCGAAAAGATTCCGACGCGCGGGAATAACAAAAGATACGTACGAAAGGACGAGAGATACGAGCCCGTCAAAAAGAAACACGCGCCTCAGACCCGATACGACGCGGTGTCATACAAACTGGGGTTTAAATAGAGCTCGAGACATGCGAGTATTTATGCGGGCGTTTGTAAAACTTAGACCACATGACGAACGAAGTGGCGGAGAGATAAATGGGAACAATGAGATCGCCTACCGAGACTAGAATGCGAGCGCGCTGTTCGCCTTTCCCACGACTTATCAAATTCTTGGTTCGGCTGAAGGCAGATAAAGGCCATTGTTCCGCAAAACTTTCGGTCGGACGGACGGGTGTTTCGTTACTTTCGTAGTAGTGTGGAATTCATAAACACTTCTTTGTTCCGCGACCCAGTTCGTCGATAGTTCGCCGGTGGGCGCGTTGCACGAGCGCCGGGCGTTTTCATAGGCTGGCACACACGATGAGCGATCAGTATTCGGTTTAGAACTTGAACTTGACACACGCACAACACAACTGAACTATTTTCCTTGATTTTATTTAAAATAAAAAAAAACTATCAATAAACAAAAAAAAAATATGTTGAAAGTGGCCAAGCGAGTAAAATAAAATATTTCAAATTATTATGAAATTAAAGTGTCTGCAAACAATTTGTTCACTGTTTCTATCGCCCACCACTTTGTATCCCCAAATACAAGCAAAAGCTTAGTTTGGAGTCCATATCAAACATAAAATAATCACAGAGTAACTAGTTGCTAACTCAATGTAATTCGTTCTAAATTAATAATAGTAACAGCACACCAATAATAGTAAAGAAAGGAAGTATTAAAACATACATCACCTACCATCATTAAGATCTTAGCATTGGAGCCCATTAGTAAAATATGCTCAATCAGATTAAATTTCCGTCTACCCGCTACTGGCCGTCGCTTAGACCTCGCTGCAAAAGCATCAGTCTTATCGCGCCCGGAGGCATCACAGAAATTTATTCCTCATAACAAACTATAAACGGTCTCGTATCTCCCGCTGTCGGCTCACTCCTAATTGCATCTCAGCACGACCCGAAGTAGAGTACGTACAATTGCACACATTACAGAGCAACAATACAGTACGTATCATTGTATCTTTCGGCGCGTTCCCCTCGTAACGAGACGAAAATTCCACATCGGCGACCTCATTGCGTTGATTAGATGGAGAGTCCGATCGCGGATGGGAGCGGAGAAAACGTAATTTCTTTTTTACATTCACCATTAGGCGGCCAAAGCCAAAGAGGTCGATCACGTATTGACCCTGTTCGAAGCGCTATATTGGATTTTCGCTTTACGCGGGGACCCCCCGACACGCGAACGAATATAACGGTATTTCTAATTAGAGCCCGGGTCCAACCCTGGCGGGTAACGCCGAGCGATCGGAGCGAGACACGTGCAAAAATTAAGCTCTCGATTTTCCCCAATTTCGTTTATTATTTTTCAATAATTACATTCCTCCTCTTTAAATTGGAGCCGTCAAGTTAAGTCAGTATTTACCAGGCTTTTCAGAAACGGGAGGTAAATGAGCGTCTTCATTATTTTCCCCTTAGTTAACATATTAAATTTGATGAGGGATGGCATCTCAGTGTATCCAATTTAGCGGCGTATGTATGAATTATGCTGTCGATTTTTTCTCTTACTTTATTACTCTACTTAACTTAGGTTTAGCTTGCAAGTCAGTATGTGCCAGGATTTTTTACTTCATACACACGTTACAAATATTTTTATTTAATTTAATATAAAAAAAAAACTATTTTAAATGGCGACTGAAAGCAATCGGAGCGACAAACGGACGCACACTCGAAATCGACGACCGTCTAATTCTCTATTAAAAACGACGACATCTCTTCGGCCCGAACTCGTCGGTGGTAAACAATGATTCGCTTTTATCGCAAGCAATTTGGTCCAGATGGATGTGGACAGATTGGTCAATATCGGATATGTGAAGATGTAATCTTTGATCTCAGAGCGTGATGTCATAAAACCAAGACACAAATAGATACATTTGTGTCGTGTTGTTTGTACGATGTAAGTTATTTATTCGAGATGAAAACATCTTTGGTTGGATGAATAAATAAAGATGTTTTCATTTCGAATAATCACTGATATGTTCAGATATATGCGAAGGATTATAAGTACAGATTAGTAAGTCGACCATTAATTTATTAGTACTATATGCAGATATAATTCGCAGGAAAATATTCCACACTGAAGGATGTTTCTATTAATCTATTGGAAGTACAATTAAATTTTAAAGTTTTTTATAGTGCTAATCTCTGCACTTAAGATTGAACATTAAAACATGTAGAAAAAGTACGAAAAGATTGTCGCCGCTGTGGGAATCGAACCCACGTCTTCGGCATTCGCGGCCTGACGCTCTAGCCACTGAGCTAAACGGCAGATAGCCACAGCTACATGTTTTACATGTTTTAATGTTCAATCTTAAGCGCAAAGTAGATAGGAGAGGAAACATATTAATTCGAGGGAATATTAAAAACGTATTTCCTAGTATTCACCTAACGAAGGCTTTGAAATTTTAATGACGTCCCTTTAACGGCGAGTCATATTTTTATTTCGCTTTTAACCTTTTCATCAAGGCCTCGGAGACCCAAATTGACAATGAAAGTATTTACGTGAGCGCAGAGACCAAAACGGGCTGCCGTTGTCGAAAATATTAAAATGAATCTCTAAATTTTTATACTTTCCCGCCCGGCGATATATTGTGATCGAGCGACTTAATTAAATTTACAGCTACAATGAAAGTTAATCCTTACGATCGTCCCAATAACGCATACCGTAATATTCAGGACGTTAAATTGATTTGTAACCTCCCAATATTCGTATAGAAAGGGACCGGAAATCGCATAGCGTATTCATCAAGATAAAATTTCTAATATAATGTCAAAGAAAAACTCGTTTCGATCTCTCCGTTTCTGTTCAATATACAGAGTTAAAACAAATTCTGAAGTAATGTTGATATTGGATTAGTCATAAGAAAAATAACTGTCTACTGCGTAAAAAATATGCACCCATTTAGAAAAAAAAAACTTCTTAAGCGTAATAAAAGTAGTACTGTTTTCTTGTTAAAAAAGACATTAAATGCAATTGATAACAGTTTAAGATCTTTGAGTTGCAGGTACATTTCAAAAAGTTGTTATTGGTAGCCATGGTAACATCATGAAGTTTCAACAATCATTTTTCCCAAACGCGGATAATAAGTATAAATTCAATATTTTTTTGATAACTTAAGTTTATTATTTATTACTATGGTAATGTTTCACGCTGATGAAAGTTTCTATAGGGTGTCCATATAATATGTGTAAAGCTTCGGGAAATCCGAGGAGCCGCAGCCGCGTGGTGTCCCCAACGCCATTCTACGCTTGTAAATATTTCCTCAGTACAAACAAAAGGAGTTGAGTTGTGTGTCGCTAATTGACACTTAACGACTTCTATAGAGCCGACGGTATTAATCATTTTGTTCGTACGATTCCGCCTTGTTGTCTCCGTGAATGTTTTACGAGATTAGCAGGCCGATGCGATGTTCGACACAGTTCGAAAAAAACTTCAGTTTAATTGATTTCCTATATTATAGACAGAGTGAATCCTTTATCGCACGAATTCCATTATGTTTTTTAATGGCATGCACAGTGCGGTTTGGCAAAGAATGATTACGTTATATCTACAATATAGTATTTGCGTCACGAGGTAGGGGCTTCAAATATAATGACTAATGCATCGAAAATTCTCCGGTTTCTGTATAGTTTGCGTGAAGAGTTGTACTAGTCTCTTTCGATATCAAAAGGTTCGATGCCAGGTCGACTCTATCGAGTTAGTCTCTCTACATTTTATGTTAAATGAAGCCATTTCGCGACATATATTGCTTTTAATTTTAAATTTTTAAATTCGGTCGTTTCAAATAGTCTTCGCTGTTGCACGAATGGGCACGAATAGGTGTTGCAAATGGCGAAAAATCAATGGGCGGCGGTTATCACTTAACATCAGGTAACGCTTGCTCGCTTGTCAACTTTTCACATAAAAAAAAATGTGAGATGGCTTTTCACATTAAAAATGAGAGCAACAACGGTCACGGGACAGATCTTTCCATCCTAGTGCCCACGAGTATCCATCTCTCTCTATCTTAATGTCTATCTTCTTCCAACATCATATTTCATATGAACCCGGGACGGAGTCGACATTCTATGCGTCATCGGACGATCGTGATGCGGCACGATCCGAACAATACCTGGGCACCGAATACCACTCGCTATTGTACGAGATCTTCGAAATTGTCGAAGTTCAATTTACGGAGACCGGTAGTTATGCGGTCGGCAATCATTAAATTAGGACGCGGCGAGAGAGAACGAGCAAAAAATACACACAGACACAGAAATAACGAAGCCGGTATGGAGCGGTCGAATCGATGAATCAACGCGATCGCTAATGTTTTATGACTCAGTGTACAATCGAGTACACACGTCTTAATGAATGCCATTACAAAATTTGCACGTCTACGTTCTTCCTCATTGATCGCACCGATACATTTTCACAATGAAATATACGGCAGGATACGATTTCCATAAGGTTATCTACCTTAAGAACGCAAGGAGAAAATTTATATTTTTATATACGTCTTCATAACGAATTAATTATTGTTCAAGTAACACAAATCGTACGGTCATCAAAATATCTACTAAGTCGAAAATGTCACGATAAAGCAATCAAGAGTGGTAACTACCGGATTACTCGCTTCATAATTAACAATTAAAGACCATTGTGAACGATTGTACCTTGATGATTCAATCGAAACAATCGATTCTCAGCGCTGATTACGTTCCATAACTAGCGGTTTAGTTTCTCTTCGTATTTGGACCGTCGCGGGCAATGAGGTCGTATAGGACGCAGTGCCAACTATGGTATGGCTGACCTTCGATAACCTTGACCAATTATTTAGAGGGTATAGGTAATTACAGACTAAACTACTGCGGCCCACAAAGCGTGGGATGCGAATTGTATGAAGAGCGCGCAGATATACGCAATCGCTATCCACCTAGCAAAATTTGGCACAAGTCTAGCTGTTATGTAGAAAGGCTCTCTAGTAAATAGAGTTTGTTGCCTTTACGCAACTACTGAAATTAACGAACTTGTTACGATTTCTTTGGATTTAAGCAAGCTGTAAATCTGATATATATTCAAGAGATATAGGAGATTATACAAATATACTATCTAACCATAGATAGTAGACTTAACCAAACTCCAACTTAGAAGACCCCTGTTT